TTTGTGATGGTTGTTCGCGATACGTCGCGTGCGCTCGCCAGACAGACAGAGAGACAGAAAGCGAGAAATCACCCTCCAGGGGGGTGGCCACGCCACAATCCCTTCTCCTCCATTCTTCTCTTAGGATCTTGGGCACGCATGCACACGCACCAGACGTGAGTTTAAGCCACCAGGTCTGGGACGCGAACCGTGGTCGACTACATAGGAGTCCAGCAACATAGCCATTACGCTAACTGCTGGTCCCTGTTTTTTTTTTTAATGAGAAACAATTACTGGTATGTTTCCTGACACATTTCTTCAGTAAATCTTATTTTCTCATTCAAAAAAATTGTATAGGAGTGGCAGCCAGGTGGTATGGTGGGTAAGGTGGCTGGATTCCACATGGCTAACTGTGTAGTTCACGTCTCGGATCCGGTGGCTTGAAAAACATGCCAGGCATGTGTACATCTGTGCCCAAAATCTTGAGAGGAGAATGGGGGGGGGGTCACAAGGAAGAGATGAATTCAAGTACATACTGCTTATAGGCCAAAAAAAATTAAATAAATAAAAGTTTCTTTATTAATGGTAGAGCATGTGCACATAAGAGTAAAGGAGGGAGAGACAAAGTGACAGACAGAGATAAGCACCTTCCAGAGGGTCTGGTCACACTGGGATCCCCCTCCTCCAGTCTTTCAGTCCACCTGAACCCGGGCACATGTGCTCATGTGCAGTGTGTTTCAGGCCTACTGGATTGAGGATGTGAACCACAGTCACACATGAGATTTGGCTACTCTTGAGCGTTGTCAGAGCACTAGCTAAGCCAGGGAGTGGGTCCCTTAGCCTTTTCACATTTTCTTAGAGGATATTTATCTCGCTGAGTGAGTAAAACTAAAATGATTCAAAAGTGTGTCTAGAGGAAATATAGGATTCTAAAAAATCTTATCAATTTGTATCTACCAGTGACCACTAAACTTGTCCTGATAATGATTAGTTTTTTTCACTGATTAAAAAAATCTTAATGGGGAGGTTGAACAGTGGTATAATGGTAAAATGTGATGCTCTATAAGCCTGACTCACAAGGGATGACTGCTGGTTCAAGTCTAGAAACCTCCCTGGGGATTCTAGACATATATGTGCCCATGATCTGAGGCTGGCCGAAACTGGGGGTGAATCATACATAGCATTAACACCCTGTTGGGTGTTATGCTGTATCTCTGTCTCTCTCATTTATGAAAGAAACAGAAAAATGAATGAATGACTTAATAGGGTATATCATTTTCTTCTGATAAATGTGTATATTAAATGCCAGGTTACAAGTCAGCTGGTGGTACGGTGGTTAAAGGAAGCTGAATCCGCAGGGCTATGGGTTTGAGTCCCACATCAGGTGGCTTAAGAAACATATTGGGTGCATGAGCCTGTGTACCCAGAATCCTGAAAGGGGGGAAGGAATAGAGAAGGGACTGTGGTGTGATCATTCTCCATGAGGTGTGTTTTCTCATTCCCGTATATCCCTCCCCTAAGCACGTGTGCCCTCTGGCAAAATTAAAAAGGGAAAAAAAAAAAATCAAGTTATGCAATTCACAGTTGGCAATATAGGTACTTCATGCCATTCAGAAGTATTTCAAAATTCAACTTCTTTAAATTTTTATTTATTTATTTAGCCATAGGGCATGTGCACTCACTGGACACTGACAGAGACAGAAAGAGATAGTGGGAAAGTGAGAAAGCATCCCCCAGGTGAGATGGCCACACCACAGTCCCTTCTCCATTTTCCTCTTGGGATTTCAGGCGTGCATAGATATGTGCCCAGCATGTTCTTCAAGCTGCCTGGCCCAGGACTTAAACTGTAGTCAGCTATGTGGAATCCAGCCACCTTAAATTCCATGTCATTAGCTGACCCTCAAAATTCTATTTCTAATTCCATTAGAGAATCTCTTAGATGCATACTCAGGAAGCCTGATCACTGTAGCATTATTTTAAACAAACAAAAAAAGGGAATAAGATAAATATACATCAGAAGGAAATTGCATACAGCCCAGCCACAGCTATACACACTGGTAAAGGCTGTTAACTTGGCAGGCTGAGGCCAAAGTAGGATGCTGTAGCATGCACTTGTAGTCTGAACTATTCAAGTGACTGAATATTCAAGTGACTGGGAAATAGCAAGACCTTATCTAACCAAAAAAATAAAAAATAAAAAAATAAAAAAGAGTAGGCCCCACAGCCTCCTAGTTAAGGGACTTGGACTCCGTATGGCCCCCTGTGGTTTGAATCCCAGCCCTAGTGGCTTAAACATGCTGGGCATGTACATGTGTGCCCCAAATCCTAGCAGGATGGAGAAGTGAAGAAAGGACTGTAGTGTGACCATGCCCCCATGGGGATGGGATGCTCTCCCCCTCTTCCTCTCTCTCTTTGTTCCTGCAAGCACATGTATCCTCTGGCAATTAAAAAATCAATAAATTAAATAAAACAAGGGTAACAGATTTATTCAATGGAATATTACATAAAATTAACAATAAGTTATATAAAGTTAGAGAAGTAGATTCGTCAACACTTTAAAAAATTAGCTCTTGAGTAAAAATGATGCAACACAATTTCTAGAATATAAAAATAAAATGCAAAATAATATTAATTGCTATAAATTACTTACAATATATAAGAGTATAAAAGTACAGAATATTATAGAAAAAACTCATGATAATGATTACTTTCAGGAGGGAAAGAAATGGATTAGAGCAGGTGGCTACAGAAAACTGTAATATTTTAATTCTTTCTAAAAAATGTTGAAGCAAATATACTGAATGTAACTATCTGTTAAGTGTTATGTCTTTGTAGTTGAAATATAAGTATTATTATTTTTCTCTATCTTATTTCTCAAAACAAAGCAAAGTTCCCCATTTCTTTACAGGAAAGTATCTTAATTCAGTCTCTATTTTACTATTAGACAAAATTCAAGCTGCTGCTGGGTGAGCTAATGGACTTTTAGGCCTCCTAAAGCAGCAGGAGCATTTTTAAACTCTGAGAACCCATTCACACCCTACAGCTACCATCCTAAGGAGGTCTTATAAGTCTTCATACCTTCTTCAGATCTAAATATGGGCTGGCAAAACACAGGTGAACAAGAGCCTCTGGATAATTAGAGAATGGTTCACAACTAAATCCAAGTTTATGATACTTACTAAAGGTAATTTACTGACTTGACAGGCAACTGTACAAGTAGCCAATCTGTCCAAAGCTTAAAAATTAAGACTGATATTGTCTTTACACTGCAACAAAATTCAGTGAAAATTCATTTATCCTCCAAAGTTTACCTGTTTCAGCTTCTGATTCTGAGTCATCTTCATCGTCTTCTTCACTTGAGCAGCTAGATTCATCTTTCTTCCCTTCTTCTTCCTCATCAACCTTTTCTTGTTCCAGAGATTCAATACGGGATGCATTTTTCTCTGGTTCGATAATCAATGTCTCTTTGCTGTAAAAGGAAATAGCCTTCAAATGCTTTTTCCCAGATCAATGACAATCATGCCTTTGACTTTTATGCCAACTCATTTATAACAATAAGAAAACATACTTTAATATCTTACTCACTTTTTATAGGTCTTCTGTGACTGATTATTGTCCATATTTGCTGTTGACTCAATTAGTGGAGATTTCTTATCCCGTTTTTCACTGTGGAGCTAAAGTTATTTACAGGGATAAGAATACCAATAAAAAAACTTAATTAGTAAAGCACAGTTTAAAATAATACCAAAGTAACTTTTTTTTTTTTGGAGAGGTTTTTTTCACTATAGGGCGTGTGCGCTTGCCAGACAGAGAGAGAGAGACATAGAGACAGAAAGCGAGAAATCACCCCCCAGGGGGGATGGTCATGCCGCAATCCCTTCTCCATTCTCCTCCTGGGATCTTGGGCACGCACGCAGACGTGCCCGGTGTGAGTTTTAAGCAACCGGGTCCAGGACGCGAACCGCGGTTGACTACGTGGGAGTCCAGCGACATAGCCATTACGCTAACTGCTGGTCCCCCCAAAGTAACTTTTCAAACAGTAAACAAAACAAGTAATAAGAGATTCAAGTTTTACTTGGAAAAGAGTAAGTATAGATAAAGAATAAAAAGGACTTGAACGTTAAAAAAGCCCATACGGGACTAAATTGAATTTTTCAAATCTGCTCCCCACTTCAGTTCACAGACAAAGTTAAGGTCCACTAACTACTTACGATAACTGATGGAATTGTATTTAAAAACCTGTTTCCTACTTACATTAACCCTTTGCTTATCTAAGGCCAGCTATTAGAAATCTGACTTTTTGAGGCTAGCAGATGACGTAGGAGTTACGTTGCTAGACTCCCACAAGGCTGACCATGGTTCGAGTCCCAGACCAATGGCTTCAAAATCATATCCAGCATGTGTGTGTGAGTGTCTGCCAAGCTTACGAGAGGAGAATGGAGGAGAAGGGACTTCGACGTGGCCATCCCCCTTGGAAGGTGATTTCTAACTTTCCCTCTTGTTTCTCACTCTCCAGTGAGCACAAGTGCCCTGTAAAATCTTTTTTTTAAAAAAATAAATAAATAAAAAGAAATCTGACTTTTTTAAAAGAGGTTTTTGGCATGGGGCATGTGCACTCACCGGAAAAGGAGGAAGAGATAGCGAGAGGGAAAATGAGAAATCACCCCCCCCAGGGAGGATGGCTATACCACAATCCCTTCTCCTCCATTCTCCTCCCAGGATCTTGAACATGCATGCACACATGCCCGGTGTGATTCTGAAGCCACAGGGTCTAGGACTTGAACTCTGGTTGGAAATGTGGGAGTCCAGCGACATAACTGCTATGCGATCAGCTGTCCCTTAAATCTGACATTTTCTAGTCTCTACCTTTTAAAAAACTTTCTAAGAAATTAGAAGAATGTGTGCTCGCTTTGGCAGCACATATACTAAAAACTGGAACGATACAGAGATTAGCATGGCCCCTGCGCAAGGATGACACGCAAATTCGTGAAGCGTTCCATATTTTTTTAAGAACATATCCCAAGTCCTATAAATGGCTTGTATGGAACTTTTACATTTGAGTTAAAGATTGTTAAACATGCAAAAAAAAAAAGAAATTAGAAGAATGTGTTATTCTTGAGAATATATACATTATATAAGTACTAATGTTGTGAAGAAGAAATAGATTGTTGGCAAAGTCATGAAGCATTTTTGCAAAGAAAAATATGTCATGACTTCCCTGACAACCTAGTAGAAATGGTAAGGGGTGATACAAAAGACTAAATATCACCACCACCAATTTATTAACTGCTTTCGTTATTTGATTACTAAGAATAGCAAAACTAAAAGATACAAAACATCACAAAAATACTGCTAACTGTCTGAAATGCAAAACTATAAAAGAATTCATCAATATAGGTCATTTTTAGACAGTTCTCAAACATACCAGATTTTGTTTCTTTTGTAACTCTTCTAAATATCCTAGAATGTCTTCATCAGCTACATCAAAGGCAGTCTGGCCCTATATAGGAAACAAAAGGGAGATGATAGTAAGAAAAAAAAAATCAGTAAATTGTAAAATGTCTTTAGTAATTATGCATGATTATATAAAAAGGAATCACAATTTTTTTTATGCTCATTATTATGACATAGTGCATAGAACTTTAAAGAGATATGCCAGAAATCCACATGAGAAAGAAAACTACATCTGAGAATACCTCCTTATTTCTTTTTGCTATTATTTTTAAATTTGCTATAGGGCTCATGTGCTCACGAGAGAGAAAGAGAGAAAGCAAGCTGCCAGGTCTGGGAGTTGAACCATAGTCAGACATGTGGGGGTCCATCGCCTTAATCACCATGACATCTTGGCTCTGAGAACATCATCCTTATTATTTTTTTTTTTTGGTAATGAAATTGAGATATAATTCATAAATGATACAAAAGACCCACATAAGTGTACAATTCAATGGTTTTAAGGCATTCACAGAACTGTACACCATCATAATGGTTTTATATTTGTAATTAACACTTCTTGTGAATAAAATACTCTAATTTAAAAACTTTCTTGAAGTGTAATTAAATTTTTGTAGGAGTTAAACGCATGGGGTTACAATAATCACCAATAAAAACTAAAGTAAAATATGTCTACAAAGAGAAAAATTTGTACTTTCAAAAAAGCACATCCATCAACCTAACTTGAGATACTTAAGCATGTTCTTTTAACCAGTCAATAGGACAGTTCCAAAGCTAACCACTGTGAAGTTATAAAGATGATTAGATTATTGGGAGTAGCAGTTAGCATAATGGCTATGTCGCTGGACTCCCATGTAGTTGACTGTGGTTCAAGTTCCAGACCCGGCGGCTTAAACTCATGCTGGGCATGTGTGCATGCGTGCCCAAGATCCCAAGAGGAGAATGGGCGAGAAGGGATGGCGGCATGGCCATTTTCCCAGGGGGTGATTTCTCGCTTTCTGTCTCTCTGTCTCTGTCTGTCTTTCTAGCGAGTGCATGCACTCTATAGCAAAAACCTCTTAAAAAAAAAAAAAAAAAGCCCAGAAAAGATGATTAGATTATTAACTACCATAATGCACCACTAACAAATACAAATGGAGTATGATATATAAACAAGAGTCTCTCAAAGTGATCGGGAAACAACTGCATGGAGGACACAGTGCTAGGATATGAGAAAATAACTATCAATGAGAATTATCTAAGGAGAAAAAGAAAAGGCTGCTTAAAAAATCAGCTTAATACATGTAAGTTACCAGAACCACTAAAGTGCCAGTTAAATGGCTTAAACTAGAGCCACTGGTTGTTTAAGTCACAACTTCACAGTCTCTTCATTCTATTTTTCTCAATCTAACTTAATTGCTTTTGTAGGTATAATCTTTCTTTTTTTTTTCCTTCATCTGCACAACAACCAATGACACAGCTGGAATAAGTATTCTTATGATTCTCATAATACAGATGAGAAAACTAAAGCTGAGTGTACAGTATTTCCCCAAGGTCACAAAGATAATGAAGGGAAAGGGGAAAATCTGTCATATTTGTCCTTATAGAAAATAAGAATAAACTTTCTTTAGAGAGAGAAAGAACAAGGGTAAAGAAAAATCTTTGTGTCCATTAGTAACAGAAATAGCTTTGTTTAAATTCATTTAAATCTTTAAAATGACAGATACCAAAAACTAAAAATTAGGCTGCTAATCACTGTATTAATGCATTAAGAGAAATTCCAACTAGAAGAATTGGTTAATATTTAAAAAGGAAAAGTATTTAGGAACATGAATTAAACAATTTTTAAAAATAAAGAAGAAAAAAACTTTTATATTTAAAATCCATGACAATTTATGATGAAATACAATGTTAGCAAGCATGTTTTAGATGGTAAATAAGTTAATGAGACCAAAATCTCTAAATATTTATTTTTAGAACATTTTTCTCTACTTCCATGTAGACTTTTTTTTTGGAGAGGTTTTTGCTATAGGGCGCGTGTGCTCGCCAGACAGACAGAGATAGACAGAAAGCGAGAAATCACCCCCAGGGGGGATGGCCACGCCGCAATCCCTTCTCCTCCATTCTCCTCTCGGGATCTTGGGCACGCACGCACACGCGCCCGGCGTGAGTTTTAAGCCACCGGGTCCGGGACACGAACCGCGGTCGACTACGTGGGAGTCCAGCGACATAGCCATTACGCTAACTGCTGGTTCCCTCCATTTGTGATTTTCAAGCTGCTGGTCCAGGACTTGAATTGTAGTCAGCCATGTGGGAATCCAGTTGACTGGAATGCAGGTGTTGATCTCACATGGCAGATTGCGGTCTGACCGTGAAGCGTGAAAATCATGCCAAGTGTTTGTGTGCGGATGCCCAAAAACTCTCAAAAGGAGAATGGAAAAGAAGAAATTGCGTCATGGTCATTCTTCCAACCCCCTCTCTAGGGGAGTGATTTCTACTTTCCCTCTCCCTCTCTGTTTCTATCTGGTGAGCATGAAAGAAATTCAAAAAAACTTCCATTACTATAGGTTTCAAAAACAAAAAAAAAGGGGGGGAGGGACCAGCAGTTAGCATAATGGCTAAGTAGCTGGACTCCCATGTAGTCAACTGTGGTTCAAGTCCCAGACCCAGTGGCTTAAACTCACGCCAGGTGCGTGTGCATGCATGCCCAAGATTCCGAGAGGAGAATGGAGGGGAAGGGATTGCAGTGTGGCCATCCCCCAAGGGGGGTGATTTCTCACTTTCTATCTCTCTGTCTCTCTGTCGGAGGGCATACACCCTAAAGAAAAAAAAAAAAAAAAAAAAAAAAAACACAATGGCTGGATTCCCACATGGCTGACCGTGGTTTGAGTCCTGGACCTGGTAGCTTGTTTTCTCACTTTCCCTTTCTCTCTCCTCTCTCTGGTGAGCACATGTGCCCTATAACAAATAAAAATAATAATAATACTCAAGATTAAATACATAATTATTTAAAAAAGAACATAGTAGAATAAGAAAAAAAATTATCAGGACTTGAGAACAATTACTCAACTTCTCTGATCGTGTTCCTGAATTTGCAAAGACCTGAATATTTTCTTAGGGTTGTTAATAGGCAACATAATATGTAATATATGTGAAAAAAGGTCTGAAACTATAAAATTCTCAGGAAATATGGGTCGTAATTCTTTTAGGAGTATATAAAGATCCACTAACATAATGGCATGAAGGGATGAGATATTAAACAAAATTCAGAGTGACATATGACTATGTTATCATAGTAATACAGGAATAAAAGGATTTAAAAAACTAACATTTACTCTGTTATGATAAATTGAATGGTATAGGAATTAGACAATTATAGACAGATGTAAAACAAAATAATTTTTCATATATACTATAATTGTGTATGCTCCCCTAGCACACTGGTAAAATACAACATGTTTATTAACTACAAAGTGATATAAGCTTGGGGAATTCCAAGCTTTTAATTGAATCTCTCTATTGGTGCTTATCTGGAAGACCATTATTACTAATTGAACCAATGATGGGCACTGCCCATGTCAGTGGGCAAACAGCCTTTAGGGGGGACTGCTTGAGAGAGACAGGAATACGAAACAGTTTGGAAAGGTAATAGATATCCACTAATTTCTTTAGGAAAAATCCCAGCTGAAGGGAAGGGGAACTTGTACATAGAAGAGGAAACATCAATTATTTAGCTAAAATTTGCTGACATTTTACATAAAAGAATATCAACATTTATATGCCTTCTAATGCTGATTACAAAACAGACAACTTTATAATAGAGAAAGTAAATTCCTGAAAGTGTTGACTAAAATTTCTGACTAAAGATTTTTGTACTTATATATAAATACAAAGCTAAATTTATAGACAGATTCATCTCAAACCTTTTGTATCTTGACTTTTCTAAAGATTTTCACTACTTCCTATGACTTTCTTTTCTGTATATTTCTTATGTATATAATGGGTTATAGGGAAAAGTCATGACACATTTTGCATAAAAAAGTAGAAAAAGTATGTCATGACTTTTCTGACAACCCAATACTTAAAAAAATAGTTATTTATTTATTTCCACTTATTATTATGAAACAGTAATACAATAAGCAAAGAATATTCTGTGGACGGGTAATTGTGCTCACTAGAGAGGATGTGGTTTGAGTTCTCTAACTATAGGAGTATGAGGGGATGGACAGGAATACTGGGGACAGTGGCAACAGACTGATATATCTGAAAAGGAGCAGAGGAGAAAACTCTAACAAGAAACTTGATAACCTGAATCCTTCCATGATTTTGTGAAACATTTGTATGACATTTGTTTCCTCCTTCCTTCTAGCTAGTTGTGTGACACTAAATAAATAATTTATCTCACTCAACTGTTTACTCCTATGCAAAACCAGAAGACTAGATGTTTCATCTCAATAATCTGATCTGGCATAAACCTTTACAGTTTTTACTCTATTTACCTGTTATAAGATCTCACTATCTAAGTCACATAAAGAACTACCACGTGAGGGCCAGCAGGTAGCATAGTGGTTAAGGTGCTAGATTCCCACTATGGCTGACCATGGTTCAAGTCCCAGACCTGGTGGTTTGCTTTCTCACTTTTGTTCTCTCTCTCTTTTTGTCTTTGACTGGTGAGTGTATGTGCCCTATAGCAAATTTAAAAATAGTAATAATAAAATCAATAAATAATTTTAAAAAATAAGTAACTATTATTTGTAAGCTACTAAGATTATCACAGGGCCACATAAAGAACTACTACTTGTTAACTAATAAGATTATCACAGGGCCATGTACGTCACAGTAGTAATGCAACTACACCCTATACAGGGAAGGTCCTGGACTTGTATTCCAGGACCTCCTTATGTACACCAAGTATGTGTGCATGCCCATGGTCTTGTCTGGCTCAGACTTGGGTGGAATCTCTAAGTGGAGACCTTGTTGGGCTATCTATCTGTCTCTCTTCAAATAAAAAAAGAAAGAAAAAAGAAAGAAGACTAAAGATTATTAGAAACATTATTTTATATATGTTTCGATTTAACAGTGATGGCGGAAAATACTCACAAACAAATGCAAAAGTTGGGACCTTATAGCAAAAATCATACCTTATCGCAAAAATCTCTCTCTCTCTCTAAAAAAAAAGAAAGTTTCGGGAACCAGCAGTTAGCGTAATGGCTATGTCGCTGGACTCCCACGTAGTCGACCGCGGTTCGCGTCCCGGACCTGGTAGCTTAGAACTCATGCCGGGCGCGTGTGCGTGCGTGCCCAAGATCCTGAGAGGAGAATGGAGGAGAAGGGATTGCGGCGTGACCATCCCCCCTGGGGGGTGATTTCTTGCTTTCTGTCTCTATGTCTCTCTCTGTCTGTCTGGCGAGCGCACGCGCCCTATAGCGAAAATCTCTCCAAAAAAAAAAAAAAAAAAGTTTCCAACTCATAAATTCTTATGCATGTAACATTGGGAGTGACATGGTGGTTAAGGCACCGGACTCTCACATAGTCAATCGTGGTCTGAGTCCTGGACACGATGGTTTGAAATTCATGCAGGGTGCATGTTTGTGCATGCCCAAAATCCCAAGAAGAGAATGGAGAAGAAGGAATGGTAGTGTGGTCATTCTCCCTGGGGCGGGGAGTGATTTATCATTTTCCTTCTGTCTGTCTTTCTTTGGCATGTGCATGTGGCTATGGCCAAAAAAAAGGAATGTAACATCAATGCAAGTATATAAATCTACACTGTATGTTATGAGAATATGATTACTAAAAGAGTAGTATTTGTTTCTTTTTTAAAAAATAAATAATTAATTAATTTTTAAATTTGACTAGAGAGGGACAGAGTAAGAGAGAGAGAGAGAGAGAGAGAGAGAGAAAGCAAGCCACCAGGTCTGGGACTTGAATTGTGGTCAGCCATGTGGGAGTCCAGCACACTTAACCACCATGTCACCTACTGGCTCCAGTATTTGTTTCTTCACAGAAAAAGGCCAAACCCACTTCACATGGTAGCTAAAAGACTTAAACTATTAATAAATAAATTGATAGACAAACTGTTTTATACAATTGATAAAACTTTACACAATTATAAAATGTATACCTAATAATATTTTAAAACTAAAACTGTATTTCTAAATATTAAAATGCATTTAAAAGGCTTACCACTTTGTTGACCATCTCCATATCACACAGATTATCCACTAAAATTCGACATGCTTCTTCTTTACCCCAATGAGCTGCAGCATGAAGAGGTGTCCATCCATCATAATCTTTAATATTAACATCATAGCCTGCCTGTATTAAAAGTCTAAAGAAATTATAGTAAGTTAGATAATCCTTAAAATCTAAAAAGAACGAACATGATCAACAACTTAATACCATGCAATTTAACCAAAATTTGAGATGTATTTTCTCTTAAGTTCAAATATCCTCTCCCTGTAACAAATAAATTAGAGCAAATAGAAAGTAATTTTCAGAAAACACTCAGAAAAATGAGGAATTTGAGTCACTGTCTTAATAATTGTAGTTTTTTGTTTGTTTTTATTTTTGCTTTAGGGCATGTGAGCTTCTCAGAGACAGAGAGAGAGAGAAGGGGAAAGTGAGAAATCACCCCCTAAGGGTGATGCCATGACGCAATCCCTTCTCCTCCATTCTCCTTTTGGGAGAACACAACTGGCAAGTCTCTCAATCTGCCAGGTCTGGGACTTGAACTGCAGAGTTGGCCATGTGGGATCCATCGGTCCAACTACCAAACCACCTGCTTGCCCCAATAATGTAGTTTTAATTAATTTCTAGTGTCTACAGGTCTTATGGTTTGGTGTGACACTGATTAATTCTTGTTAATATGATTTATAAATAAAAATTTCACAGAAACACCCAGAATTTTTCAATGTAAGATAAAAAACTTATGAAACAATTTATATGTATAACTGATTTACTACAGATAACATCTTTGGGTGTCCATATGACATGACATCTCAGGCTAAATGTGTTGTAAAACTATACTGAGATCAAACAAGCTTATTTTGCAGTTTTTCTTGCTTTGTAGTTGGAGAACTTTGGAAAAGCTTTCATGAAACTTAAAGGTCTACCCATGGAAAATTTTCCAAGAAAAATGACAATTTGTTAGGAACAAAACAAAGCAAAACACAAATTCCAAGAGGTTGAGTGTACTTTTCTGCAGGAGTAGAAAGCAGATATTCCAATAATGAATATGCTAGAAAACAGGAACATGTTTTAACACAATGCAAAGAATTGTATAAATTATGTTAGTATGCCCTTCTAACCACATATTGACATTACTCTTTATTTTTAAAAATTTAAGCTCACAGAGAGCAAAGAATAAGTCTGTCAATTACTCACATCACAGTTAAAACACACACAGGCGAACACTGAATACTTGACAACTCATGAAATCTAGTAGACCTTTACCTTACTTTCCAAGATGTTGAGCTTGAAAAGGGCTTCTTTTTACCTATAGGAGGTGGCAGTGATAGCTAATATATAACCCTCCATTCATTTATTTATGCTTAACAATTAATCCCCTATTTCCTAACAATATCTAAAGCAGTTGTTTCTAATCCTGGCTCTCTAACAGAATCATCTGAAGAGCCTGATTGGGGAAAAAACAAACAAACAAAAAACATTCTCCAGCTCTACTTTAGTATTACTAAATTAATTGGCATATCAAGAGATGATCCTTGTCAATCGATATTTTTAATAAGTCCCCTGTATAATTCTCATATCACTGTCTGTCACCTGTATGCAGACCAACATTTGAGAATCACAATCCAAAGAAAAGGCTAGACAATATAAGAGATTCAAATTAAAGAAACAGCCCCAGTAACACATATTATCAGACGTTTTATTGGCAGAGGCAGAAATAACACTAGAAAATAAAGAGATACTTCCTACTAGGAAATGTAAACTATAACAATGTCCTGAACAACATAAAACTGTAGGTACATGGGAGTCTATGGAAAAGTACTTGGGCAACTATGGAAGGTAGGAGGATAGAAAGTTTTTTTTCAGCAAACATGATTCTCTGAATATGCTGGACCCTACAAAGATGCTTTAAAAACATATATATACAGTACCTATACACAAAGAGCTTTATTTTGTTTTTGAGAGGTTTTTGCTATATGGCGCGTGTGCTTGCCAGAAAGACAGACAGACAGACAGAAAGTAAGAAATCACCCCCCAGGGGGGATGGCCACGCCACAACCCCTTCTCCTCCATTCTCCTCTCGGAATCTTGAGCACGCATGCATATATGCCTGACATGCGTTTAAGGCACTGGATCTGGGACTCAAACATTGGTAAGCTACATGGGAGTCCAGAGACATAGCCATTACGCCAACTGTTGTTCCCTCAAAGAACTTTTAATGAAGGACAAAAGTAAACAAAAATCAACCTTCATGGATAGATTCTGTTACAGAGATGTAATAGGAGTACAGGAGTACAGAACTGAAAAGCATCAAAATCAAATTGAAAGAAGTTTGTGTTTCTGGGAAGGAGGGCAAGTGGGGAGAGAGTTACATTCAAAATAGATCTATTTATATTTAATTTCATATATTTAAAAATTTATTTTCCTAAGTTATACATTCATGAGGTTTAAAAATGAAAAAGAACAAAGGGGTATTAGGAAAGTTATTTTCTCATTGCTAAGGTTTTCACTATAGGGCGCATGTGCTCGCCAGACAGACAGAGAGAGACAGAGAGACAGAAAGCGAGCAATCACCCCCCAGGGGGGATGGCCACAGTGCAATCCCTTCTCCTCCATTCTCCTCTCAGGATCTTGGGCACGCATGCACACGTGCCTGGTGTGAGTTTAAGCCACCGGGTCGGGGACTCGAACCACGGTCGACTACATGGAGTCCAGTGACATAGCATTTATGGTAACTGCTGGTCCCTCATTGCTAATCTTAAGCCAACTAGTCTTCCCTCCCCAGAACCAATCAGACCATTATATTAATTTTGACTGAATCCTTACAGAAAAATTTCATTCACATAAAGCAAATACAGTTTGAAATAAAAAAATACAAATGATTTATCTGTCTATCCTTGATTTTGACATTTCATAATATGTAAGGAAATTTTCTATTCTTATTTTTAATTGCCACAGAGTATTCCAGTGGAAGGATGCACCATAACTTAATACCATTATCCTACTCTTACTAGCACACCCTGCTGCTAGGACCTAACTTACTTCCTACGTGAGTAAAAACTGTAAAAAAAAAAAAAAAAAAAAAAGAAAGAAAAAGAATCCTAGAGGTAAAATCACTAAGTTAAAGAATCAATTAATTGGCATATCAAGAGATGATCCTTGTCAATCGATATTTTTAATAAGTCCCCTGTATAATTCTCATATCACTGTCTGTCACCTGTATGCAGACCAACATTTGAGAATCACAATCCAAAGAAAAGGCTAGACAATATAAGAGATTCAAATTAAAGAAACAGCCCCAGTAACACATATTATCAGACGTTTTATTGGCAGAGGCAGAAATAACACTAGAAAATAAAGAGATACTTCCTACTAGGAAATGTAAACTATAACAATGTCCTGAACAACATAAAACTGTAGGTACATGGGAGTCTATGGAAAAGTACTTGGGCAACTATGGAAGGTAGGAGGATAGAAAGTTTTTTTTCAGCAAACATGATTCTCTGAATATGCTGGACCCTACAAAGATGCTTTAAAAACATATATATACAGTACCTATACACAAAGAGCTTTATTTTGTTTTTGAGAGGTTTTTGCTATATGGCGCGTGTGCTTGCCAGAAAGACAGACAGACAGACAGAAAGTAAGAAATCACCCCCCAGGGGGGATGGCCACGCCACAACCCCTTCTCCTCCATTCTCCTCTCGGAATCTTGAGCACGCATGCATATATGCCTGACATGCGTTTAAGGCACTGGATCTGGGACTCAAACATTGGTAAGCTACATGGGAGTCCAGAGACATAGCCATTACGCCAACTGTTGTTCCCTCAAAGAACTTTTAATGAAGGACAAAAGTAAACAAAAATCAACCTTCATGGATAGATTCTGTTACAGAGATGTAATAGGAGTACAGGAGTACAGAACTGAAAAGCATCAAAATCAAATTGAAAGAAGTTTGTGTTTCTGGGAAGGAGGGCAAGTGGGGAGAGAGTTACATTCAAAATAGATCTATTTATATTTAATTTCATATATTTAAAAATTTATTTTCCTAAGTTATACATTCATGAGGTTTAAAAATGAAAAAGAACAAAGGGGTATTAGGAAAGTTATTTTCTCATTGCTAAGGTTTTCACTATAGGGCGCATGTGCTCGCCAGACAGACAGAGAGAGACAGAGAGACAGAAAGCGAGCAATCACCCCCCAGGGGGGATGGCCACAGTGCAATCCCTTCTCCTCCATTCTCCTCTCAGGATCTTGGGCACGCATGCACACGTGCCTGGTGTGAGTTTAAGCCACCGGGTCGGGGACTCGAACCACGGTCGACTACATGGAGTCCAGTGACATAGCATTTATGGTAACTGCTGGTCCCTCATTGCTAATCTTAAGCCAACTAGTCTTCCCTCCCCAGAACCAATCAGACCATTATATTAATTTTGACTGAATCCTTACAGAAAAATTTCATTCACATAAAGCAAATACAGTTTGAAATAAAAAAATACAAATGATTTATCTGTCTATCCTTGATTTTGACATTTCATAATATGTAAGGAAATTTTCTATTCTTATTTTTAATTGCCACAGAGTATTCCAGTGGAAGGATGCACCATAACTTAATACCATTATCCTACTCTTACTAGCACACCCTGCTGCTAGGACCTAACTTACTTCCTACGTGAGTAAAAACTGTAAAAAAAAAAAAAAAAAAGAAAGAAAGAAAAAGAATCCTAGAGGTAAAATCACTGAGTTAAAGAATGCTTTGATAAGAATGAGCTCTGTTTTCATTTATATTTCCACCAGTAATGTAAGAGCGCTTTTCCTCACCACACCTTGCCAACACAGTGTGCTCAATGTTTTATTAAACTTTGCTATAATGATGGATAAAAATTGGTAACTCATTGTAGCTTTATTTGTACTTTATGATGAATGAAGCTGAACTTTTTATGTTTTTCATATGCTTAAGAGCCTTGAACTGCATGAAATGATTAAATGAAATTTACCTCCATGAAGAGATGGTGAATACAGACAGCTATATAGAAGTAAGAGCAGGCACTGAGACATCATGGCAGTGGTGGCCACTTAGCTTAAAAGAAGATGGTGGCCAGATGATGAAGGTCTTATGTACTAAGCTGACAAGTTTAAAATTTATCCTGATCGCCACTGAGAATCTTACAGGATTTTTAAAGCCTGGACAACTTAATTGCAAAGATTAACTTGGAAGCAGTCTATAACCTATTTTATAATGTAATCCAGAATTCATATACCATATATGTTTACAGAAATAAATATTCTGATAGTCATTACCTTTACTATATGCAAAATACTCTGATATTTTCTTTTTTTTTTTTTTGGAGAGGTTTTTTTTTTTTTTGCTGTAGTGTGCATGTGCTCGCCAGACAGACAGAGAGAGACATAGAGACAGAAAGCGAGAAATCATCCCCCAGGGGGGATGGTCACGCCGCAATCCCTTCTCCTCCATTCTCCTCTCGAGATCTTGGGCATGCACGCACACACGCCCGGTGTGAGTTTTAAGCCACTGGGTCCAGGACGCAAACCGCGGTCGACTACGTGGGAGTCCAGCGACATAGCCATTACGCTAACTGCTGGTTCCCTATTTTTTTTTTTTTAATGCTGTTTGGAATTCATTATGTTCATTCCGTAACCTGCTAATGGGATTCAGAAATTTTAAAGAAATTTGACTTAGAGAGAAAAAGATAGAAACTAATTATAAGGAAACTAATTACAAGAAAACTAATTACAAGGCAACATTACTGTTCTAAAAGGCCTAAATTCCTAGGGTAGAGACTGAAAAGAGAAGAGGCCAGCCCTGTAGTACAGTGGTTAAACACAGTGCAAAGCTGGATCCCACATGTTTGACCATCCTGGCTCTGGAAGCTTAGGTCAGGTACGAATTCGTGTGTCACAAATTCTGATGGGATGGAGAAAGGAGGAAGAAGGGACAACTGGGGTGTTATCAAGCCTCAAGGGGGTGTGGTGGGGGTTGCTTTTTCTCCCACTCATGAATATACATATCCTCTGGTAACAAAAATTAAGAAAGAAAGAAAAGAGGAGGAAACTTGGGAATAAGTGACCCACTTAAGTTTCTCTAATTTTACTGATGAAAGAGAATAAGGAAGAAAGACTGGTATCAGAAGCCTTAGTGGATTGGAAGCAATATAAAGGATGCAATATAAAGGTTTGCTGAGTACTGGTCTGATTTCCTTTCACATATGAGGATACATCAAAAATTTGTGAAGAATGGAATTAAAGTATGAGTTTATTTTTGTGCAAAGAGTTTCTGAAATCCATGCATAGTTTTTTCATAAAATGCATTTTCCATGAATGATTTGTACATTTAACAAAAGTTATGCACTAAAAATTTTTTTCATGTAATTGCCAACACTTCTGCATTGTATAAGTTAGAAAAAATTGACTGAAAATAAATGAGCTCTGTTTCAAGGAGGTTTACTGGGACAATGATGCTATAATAATTTATTAGTTTAAAAGATAACAATAGTTGCTGACACTTAAATTCAACTTGTTGGAAAACTGCAACTGGAAAAAAAAGAATAATTGAAATTTGAGAGTGAAAGAAAAAAAACTTCAGAAATGTAAGCAATTATATTCAAGAAGTTTTCTATTCCTTAAAACAGACATTAAAAAATCTTTTAAAAGCTGTTTCAAAATAATGTTTGCAGGGAACCAGCAGTTAGCGTAATGGCTATGTCACTGGACTCCCAAGTAGTTGACTGCGGTTTGCGTCCCGGACCCGGTGGCTTAAAACTCACACCAGGCACATGTGTGTGTGTGCCCAAGATCCCGAGAGGAGAATGGAGGAGAAGGGACTGCAGCATGACAATCACCCCTGGGGGGTGATTTCTCGCTTTCTATCTCTCTGTCTGTCTGATGAGCGCACGCGCCCTATAGCGAAAAAGCTATCCAAAAAAAAAGAAAAAAGAATAATGTTTGCAAGTTTTGTTTTAAAGGATTATTTAATTTTATTTATTATTATTATTATTTTTAATTTGACCAGAGAGAGAGAAAGGGAAAGTGAGAAAGCAAGCTGCCAGGTCTGGGACCTAAACTGTGGTCAGCCAAGTGGGAGTCCAGTACCTTAACCACCATATTACCTGCTGGCCCCTATCTGCAGGCATTTTAGAAAAGAAACAATAAAAGAAATAAGATGTAGGTAGAAAAGAGGTAGAAAGATGACTATGTGAAAAAAAAAAAAAAAAAACAACCCAGTACTTACTTTAAAACCTCTGTATAGCCCTTAGCTGCTGCAACGTGAAGGGCTGTGCCTCCGGATTTTGCGTGCCGGACGTCATTTATATGGCCACTATTTAGCCACTGTCTTGCATCTCTAAGCATTATTCGTTCTTCTTCCTTTCGAGCTGCTTCTATATCAACCCCTGATAAAATAAAATTAGTTGTTATTTCTTTCTTAAAAGAAAATGTTCTTTCTATGTCAAGAAATAAATTTATCCAAAACATTTCAAGTTTAAGTAAAAGTTGAAAGTGAAATTGTATTTTTGAAAACTGGGCTGCTGACAAGTTGGTTAAATAAAGAGAAGTGAGAATATTGTAGTTATTTGGCCTTCTCTACTAATTATTTACTGGCTGTCAGAAAAGTCATGACATATTTTTCTGTGCAAAAATGCATTATGACTTTCCTAATGACCCAATAGTTTTGTCCCACAATATTATTTTAGTTTCCTTTTTATCTTTACTAATCATTACTTTTTAGTTTTTAAATCTAAATATTTCCCATTGAGATAAAATAATAGTTTTTAACAATTATATATGAATAAGTCTCAATTTTCTAGGTATTGTTTTGATCAGTTCTCTTAACTTTGGCCTCCCTGAAGTCTAGTGTAGTAGGTACAAACATTTATTAAACACTTCAATTTGGAAGTCCTATGTAAAATTTAGCAGACTTTAAAACAGATTATCTTTCTATCAAACTCCCTTTCCTTTTCCACAATGGTACATTCTTCATAACATGAGGAGTATTTTTTCTTAATTTTTAGAAATTATATAGGTGTCAATTCATTAAAAGCACTTATTAAGCACCATGCTAGGTTCAAGGGATAAAAGTAGAAGAAAACAATAATGAATAGAGCACTCTAGCTCCTACCTTAAAAAAAAAATCAATATTTGGGAGAAAAAATTAATACAGAAAAAATAATCTTTAAATTCCTATCTCATGCTGACTCATGGCTTCAACTGCCATAATGAAGAGCATATACCACAATGCATGTACAATCTCTTAGTCCAAAAGACTATGAACTTATTAAATGTAAGGATATTGCCTTTCTTATAATCCCATTTTCTGGCAAAATACCTGATACAAAGTGATCAGGATCAATTAACTGTTTACTAAATGAATGATGAATGAATAAATGAATAAAAAACAAGGATATAGACACATACTTATCTCCTCAGCTAAGATCTCTCCATAATCCACATCCATGTATCCAACTGTTTGGTTAGGATTTTTTTCATTCATTTACTCATTCATCCATCTACCCATCCATCCATCCATCCATCCATAAATTTAATATGTATTGAGTGCCGATTATGTGTCAGGTAGTTTACTAGGTACTATAGGTATGGAGGTGAGCTTATTATATAGCAGAAGATGATATATCTGTGAAGAAAAATAAAGTAAGGTAAAGGGACAGAAAGTAATGAGAAGGGTTTGTTATTTTACATAGCCTGCAAAAGATAGCATTATAGAAAGAGAGTAATTGCCACACTATTATGTGGGAGAATATTCTAGGAAGAAGAAAGAACTACTAGGTTTTGGTGTGAAAACCTGTATAAAATGTTGTTTAGGAGAGCAGGATGGGGTGACTGGGGTGGTGTGGTGAAGGTACTGGACTCCTACATGGTTGACCATGGCTTGAGTCCTGGACCTGGTGGCTTGCTTTCTCACTTTTCTTTCTCTCTGGTCAAATTATAAAATAATAATAAATTAAATAACTCAAAAAAAAAAAAAAAAAAAGGTGATCATCATTTTGGGGCCAGCCCATGGTGTGGTGGTTAAGGTGGCTGGACCCCAGTCACAGTCCTGGTGGCTTGAAAAACAAGCCAGGTGTATGTGCAGGCACACCCATATCTCAAAAAGACAGAAAAATGGACAAGGGATTGTGGCATGACTATTCTCCATCATGGGGATGCTTTCTTACTTTTCCTCCCTCCCTATCTCCTGTTGATCACACGTACTCTCTGGTGGGGGGAAAAGCCACGATATTTATATACTGAGGACAATGAGCAGAGTGACATCTGACTTAATTTAAGAGGATCACTCAAGCTGAAAGGTTAAGAGTAGAAATCCAGATATCCATTTAGAGGACACTGCAATATTCCAGGCAGTGGATGGTAACTGATGATGGTAACTTGAACTAGGGCAGTAGCAATGAATGATGAGTTTGAAATCCTTTAAGGCACATCAACAAAATGTATCGTTAGTCTGATGTAGGAGTAAAGAGAAGTTAGAGATTTTGGGCCCTGAGCAAATGGAAAGGTTAACTTTCATAATTTCAGAAATGTGAAGTTTGAAATGTCTGACAGATATCTGGCCAGAAATATGAAGTAGTCAGTAAACTGGATATCTAGCCTAGAAAACCAAAAGACTAGGAGAGTAATATAAAATAATATGCCATGGGTATCTCAAACTCTATACTAAATTTTTAATAGTTTCCCCCAACCCATCTGCTTGCTTCCTGTCTTGTACCTCATGTACTAGGTACTAACACTTACCTGGTCACCTGGAAGTCACCTGAATTCCTCACTTTACCTTACCTTTACTCCCTATCCAATTAGTTACCAGATTTTGAGTTACTATCTGTTAGACTAAATGATTATCTTAGATTTATTTTCCTGTGCTTATTGTTTTACTATGTCTTTTAATACAAGTATCTCTTTTTAATTTTAATTGTTTAAATTTAAATTTATTTATATTCATTTACTATACATCATTATAGCATATAAAATGAGATTTTCCATAAAGAATACACTGTATATTGGCTCAATAAAGCACATCAACATACGAATTTTCCGTTTCTTGTTTTTTGTATATTTTGCTTCTTTTCCCATCCTTGATTCCCTATCTCTCACCCTCTGCCTTCTCCCACCCTCCTCCCACACTGTCTCTGATATCCATGGTTGCTTTCTATGCCTTGCCCCCCATCGCCCCATATTTTATTGATTCACTAAAGATCTTAATTAATCTAAATATTTTCAATAGCAAGTGCAGCTGCTATATACATATCCATGAACACAAGTCTGACTTAAGGCATAAACCTCAGTGAGTAGAATGAACATACTATAAAGGAGCACCTAGTTGGGGCTATATAGTTTACTACAGTCATCAAATAGGTATTTTTAAATGCCTTTTTTTTTTTTAAATTTCAAGAAAAAGTTTTCATGGTTTTTTTTTTCCCTGAAACACGTTTTTTTAATTAATTAATTTACATTAATTCCCTAAGCATACAAAATGTGATTTCCCATCCAGAATATACTACACAGTGGCTTAATCATGCATGTTACTGTCAATAATTTTCCATTTCTAGTTTCATATATTATTCTCCCACCCCCCATTTCTGACCTTCTGTCCGTTCCCACCCTCTTCTCACAATATCCCTGGTGTCTATAGTTGTCTTCCATTCCTTTTCCCTACCACATTTTATTGATCACACAATTTCTTAAATAATCTAACTACTTTCAATAGCAAGTTCAGCTGGTAATTTCAAGAAAAGCAGTTTTAACTTTAATAAATCAAAGAAATGCTAAGGAACTTTGCTTAAAACTTAAAGCCAGTAAACATGTTAGGATTCTGTTCCAATGGTAGGTACATGAACCTATCAAGAGCTCAAGACAGGACTAAAATCTTTAAAACTGGACAATAAAGCCTAGAAGAAAATCAGCAATATTTTAGTCAAAAGTCGTAAAATGCTATTTCACCAGTTCAGTCTCATGTACTTAATCTATTGTTGTGGTTCGATCTTTCCGACTGAATTTTGGGGCATAACATTCAACTCCGGACTTGTCCCTATGATTAAGTTGGCAATTTTCTTAGTTTTTGAACTCTTATTTCTGTGTGTTTGTATTTAATTTTCCTGAAGATAGGTACCTCTTTATTATCTTGATCCCTACTGTCTTTGTAATCACAAGCATTCTTTTATTATATTTTACTGTTCTAAGTTTCTTCTAAATTTGAAATTAAAAATGACTTATTTCTGTATTTATTTAATTTCATGGTATCTTCATCTAATTACACAGCAATTACATCCTTCTACCTCTAAGTCCTGCTCATATCTGCCACATGCACATAAACCCAAGTTTGAAGTTAAAACATGAGAAAGAAAATTTCTTATTTAAGAAAATTAAACTCAAAAGAGCAACCCTTATTCTTGTTCTTAATAAAAGATTTTAAATATTAGTGATTAAAATAATAGGACCCTACCTACTAGGGTTTTTTTTAAGAATTATTTTACTTAGTTTTATTTATTATTTTTGAATTTGACCAGAGAGAGAGAGACAGAAAGTGAGAGAGCAAGACAGCAGGTCTAGGATTTGAACTGTGGTCAGCCATGTGGGAGAGTCCAGAGCCTTCAACCACCACCACACCACCTGTATGTCCCTAGTTCATCATTTTTTTTTCTTTTTTTTTTTAAAGAGAGGTTTTTGCTATAGGGCACATGTGCTCGCCAGAAAGACAGAGAGAGACAGAGAGACAGAAATTGAGAAATCACCCCCCCAGGGGGGATGGCCATGCCACAATCCCTCCTCCTCCATTCTCTTCTGGGGATCTTGGGCATGCACGCACATGCGCCCGGTGTGAGTTTAAGCCACAGGGTCTGGGACTCGAACCACGGTCGACTACATGGGAATCCAGCGACATAGTCATTATGCTAACTGCTGGTCCCATCTAAGTTAATCATTTTTAAAAAACAAAACAAAACAAAACAAAACAAAACAAAACAAAAAATTCAGTGTGTATTACAGGAGTCTTGTTTTCTAATTTCAGTGCTTTGACTAAGTAACTAGTGACCCTGAGAAAGCCATTACTGCTTGGATAGTAGTATGATAACTGGTGAACACAGATAATGAACTCAGACTGACTGGATTTGAATCCCTGATCTACTACTTCCTATTTGTATCACCCTAAGCAAGACACTTAATGTATGCTATGCTTCAGTTTCTTCATTTGTAAGCTGTGACTAATCATACTACCTAACCCATAGAATTTTTGTAAAAAATTAATTAATTTTAAGTGTTTAGGAATTAACAATTAATTAATGTAAGTGTTTAGGAATAAGCACTATAAAGTGTTAACTATCATTACCAATTCCAAAAGGCTATGACTGCTTCGTTTTTCTGTGCTTTGAAGTCTAACAGAAGGAAAATCTTATAATGCATTTTACTGATCCTTAACTTGCCTACTATAATTGCAAAGTTTTAAACAATTAAACAACAGATAATAAAACTAAATTGGGTTTGATAAAATAAAGTGATTATATTAACATCTGTCACTACTATTTAAAAGTAGTGACTATAAACTGAAATGTAGTGAAATCTCTTGGGATAAAAGAAATTAGAATTTGGTCACCTGACATTAAAAAACTGATGTGTATCCGTAGCTAAAGAAAATCACATTTAAATATAAACCAGGAATACTTTTAGCTACTATCAACCAGAACTTCCAAAGGCAATTCACTAAAGTATAACTAGTAACTGATCAAATATACTAGCACAAAAAATAAAAGCCAAAAGGATAATTAAAGAATTCAAAAATATTAAATAACTTTCATACCCAGATAATTAGAAAAAGTTCGTCCCTAATAGAGATGCATTCTCATTTTACATACAAAATGAACTTCATGAAGTATTTTCTAGGAGACATTCTTAATAACATGCAGTGTAGCACAGGGGTGCAGAGTCTAGGCTCAAGGCATCTGTCACACTGGGACAGAACCACAGCACTACCATTTCCTATTTGTGTGACTTCGGGCAAATCACTAGCCCTGATTTTCTCACCTGTATAATAAGGATAATTGCAGCAGAAACCACAGAATTGCTGTGACAATGAAAGGAGGCATGTACATAAAGTCCTTTGCTCCAATGCCTGACATTTAATAAGAGTCAGCTACTTTTCTTACTACTAATGTTAGGATTGGCTCTTCACTTTTCATTTCCAGGGTTATCTCATCTGTTAGTTCCCAGAATTCCCCTTCATTTATTGTCCTTCTGGATTTGCATTTCCCATCTTGACATTTCCTAAGTTCCAATACTATATCCAACACTGTTATCAAAATGGCCTTTTGGCTACCATGAACACAGTATGCCCCAAAACTAACTCATGTACTCCCTTCAACTCTTTCTGCCTCATCCCATATTTTCCTATATAAATTCATCTAATCATCACTTTTTTGACTGGTAAATTCAGTGAGTTGTCCTCAATTCTTCCTTCATCTCCACCTTAAATTCTTCACAAAACTTCTAATTTCACCTCAACTATCCTCAAGACAGTCCTGCTTTTCTTTGTCTCAAATATGAAAGGTTTTAGCTCTTGTCACCTTTCACCTTGACTAATTTCAGACCCTTTAGGGAATGAATGCCACCATGTATCCCACATTCTATCTCATCCTCCAAACTGCCACTACCTTTATTACTAAAAACCAAATCCAATCAGATTCACTTCCTGCTTGGAGATCTTGCATATCTATGTAAGGCCTATAAAATAGATATCCTTCATCACCTGGCTCCAGCCTACTTTTACAGGCCTTCCCTCCTCCTAATCCTAGCCTGACTTTCTATTATTCATTCTAGTTCTAATAAATTTTTCACATATGCTAAGTTTCCAATTCCTTTTCTTTGTACGTGTTAATATTGCTGCTTGACATGTCTTTTCTGTCCACCAACTAGCTCTCTCTTTGCAAGTATACTTCCTTTATAAGTCATCGCTCTAAAGCCTTTCTTGACAAGTAATTAGTCAGAGTTTTTCCTCTTTTCTCACTGTATTCTGTTCCTATATATTCTAGCACACAGCATTCTGTATTGTAAATCTCTCAATATTCCATAAATAACTATAATTAAGATTAGCCCTGCTTACAGTTACACTAACAACTTTCTTTATATACAAGGAAATACAAAGGCAGGTAAGTTTTCAGTACAACTCCATACCTTTTCTAATTCATAATAATTGCTAATTAATATAAGACAAATAAATAATAGCCATAAATTATTTATTTTAAAGTCTTACCATTGATTGACAGAAAACTGCTATCTACCTGGGCACTCAGGGTAAGATGGGCAGATAAATTCCTCTTTTTTCTAAATTCAGATGCTTTATTATTTCAATTTTCTCAACCCTCGAGTATCCCATGACTCTCAAATGCTTTAACATGGCTGTTAAAAACTTTTTAGTGTGTTTACTCAGGATCCAGTTTACAACTACTTTTCTAATGTGTGCCTGTTTTTTCTGGATTCTGGGTACCTTCAGTCATTTAAAATGCCACAACTCTATTTGAGGAATATTAAATATTTTTGTTTTAATATGTAAGATTTTATATAAATATATGTAATATGTATATATATATATACACACACAGACACACACACATATATATATTTAATAAAGAGAGATTTTTTGCTATAGGGCATATACACACACTGGAGAGACAGAGAGAGCGAGAGGGAGAGAGAGCGAGAGAGAGAGAGAGAGCTTTCTCTCTCTCTCTCTCGCTCTCTCTCTTTCTGGTGAGTTTATGCACCCTATAGCAAAAACCTCTCCAAAAAAAGAAAAAATTGACATACCATTTAAAGTGTATAACTGAAGAGGATATTGGTAAACTTGTAGAGCTGCACAACCATCATTACGATCAATTTTAGAATACTCATTACTCTAAATTTATGTACCATTAACAATCATTCCTCATTTATAAATTGACATCTCTCAAATTCACACCTGCATCTTGTACCTCTCTCTAGACTCAGATATTCAACTGCTTGGATACTTAATAAACTAAACTAAACAGTCTGAAAATGAACCCATTATCTTTCTCTATGAAACTGATTCTCGTATTTATATCTCAAATAGAATCTATCTAGTTTCTCAGACCAAAAATCTCAGAATATTTCCTGCCTTCTTCTTTCTTACACACCCTACATCTAATCATTCCACAGTCCTCTTGCCAGTTTCAGATTGTGTCCACAATCCAATCTCTTGTAATCATTTACTACACCTGAGGTTCCAGCTACCTTATCTTATCTGAATTATCGTGTTTATTTCCTAACTATGGTCTGACTTCTACTCTTGGCCTTCCTACGATCTATTCTTGACATTCAGTGAGGTCCTTTCTAAAAGTAAGTCAGATCATGTCAATCCTCTGCTGCAATTTCTCCACTGGCTTCCTTCCTATTTCACTCAGATTAGAAATCAAAGTCCACTGACAAGGCCTTATGAAATACGGCATCCTGCTACTTCTGTGACTTTACCTCCTACCAGCCTCTTCCTTGCTCTGCCTGCTTCAGTCACTCTAGTTTACTTACTGCTTCTCTGAATATACCTGAATATACCAGGTACTCTCCCATCCTTATACCTGCTGCTCCCACTGGAATGGTCTTTGTTCAGATCTACAAGACTCATCCCATCAGGTCATTCAGATCTCAAATCAAATGCACACTGAGGTGACTCTCTCTCTCTTTTGGTAAGTTATATGTTTATGAGTAGCTGTGTGTGATGTGGTATTTTAGATAAAGTCTCAGCATGTTACAATCTTATGTCAGCCTCCCAAGTAACTGGGATCACAGGCATGCTTCTTTAGAAAGGGTTTGCCATGTCACTCACACTGGCTGCAAGTTTATGATCCTTATGCCTCAGTTTCCTGAGCAGTTGGGACTATAAGCATACACTACCTAGTCTAAATGAGGCCTTCATTTCATTTTATTTTATTTTATTTTTCCTTCCATCAGTGAGTCAGTCAGAGGCACTTAGAGAGAGAGAGAGAGAGAGAGAGAACCCCAAACAGGGTTCCCAATGCCGTGACTTACCCGGAGCTTTCAGGCAGCCCTAGATCATGGAGAAGGACTTAGAGAACCCAGGGAGGTCACTGGACTTAAACTGGAACCTTCCCATGTGGGACAGCCTGCTGTGTTTTTTTCTATACCACCATCTGGCCCTTTAGTGAGCCCTTGATGCCCTATTTAAATTTACATCTACCCTTTGAACTTCTTGTCCCCTTTGCCTACTTTATTTTTGCTCCAAAGCTCTTATTTCCATGTATTTTATGACTGATCCTGACTATGATACTTCTTTCAACCTGAAAACTATTAAAAAGATATAGACTGGAGAGTCATACATTTTTTTTTTTCAAATTGAATCATACTGCACATATTGTTTGGTTAGCTGATTTGATTTTTGTTGTTCAAATTATGATTGTCCTTCAATGTTAACAAACGCTTCTGTTGGAAATTTAAGTATCATATTCTAAAACAGTTTTAAAGATTATTCCTTTTAGGATGCCTTTTGTATTACCTTGGCGATTAACTTCATTTTGAAGTAGCTCTTCCATTGCTTCCTCCTCAGCAATATCTAAAGGTGTATCTCCTTCACTGTTGACAGCCCCTACATGTGCTCCCTGACCAATCAAAAACCTGTGAAATCAAAAAGAAGATAATTAAGCAAATATACTACCATTGAAATCAAGCTACATGCATAATCAATGAGAAAATTTTCTGTGTAAGAGCAGCGATAAAAACCAAGGATAGTGGGCTAGCAGGTGGTGTGGTGGCTAAGGTGCTGGACTCCCACATGGCTGATCACAGTTTGAGTACCGGACCTAAGGGCTTGCTTTCTCACTTTCTGTCTGTCTCTCTCTGGTGAATGCACATGCCTTTATAACAATTAAAAATAATAATAATAAATAAAACTAAATAAATCTTATTTATTTATTTATTTATTTATTTATTTTTAGGATTTTTACATAGGATGCATGTGCTTGCCAGAGACAGAGGGAAAGTGAGAAGTCAGCCTCCCAGGCAGGATGGGCACTCTGCAATCCCTTCTTTTCCATTATCCTCCTGGGATTTTAGGCATGCATGTGCAAGCACCCAGCATGATTTTCAAGCCACTGGGCCCAGGACTTAAACTGCAGTCGATGATGTGGGAGTCCAGTGCTGTAACCATTATGCTACTAGCTGGCCCCAAATAGATAATTCTTTAAAAAACCAAAAATACAAAAGTAAGGGTTGTATAAGGTTATGTTAATTCTTAAAAATTACCATAGGACATACTTTTCTTTCAATTTCTATTTCGTAATTTTTCTACAATGTACAAACATGATTTATTAACACAAAAATGTTAAGTTTTAGTAATAATTGGCAAGTCTTTCGGAGGACAGTTTCACATTGCCTCTATTTAGACTTTCACTGTCTCCATATGGACTGATTTCTTTACTGATCTCCACAACTCCCAGTCTCATCACATAGTAAGAGTGCTTAACTTTGGGCCCCTGGGTAGAATTCAGAAGATTCATAAAAAAGTCCAACTGAAACAAATTTTAAAATATTTTTATGTTCATGCTTATTTTGCAATTAGTTATTAGACCTACCACTGTGTCCTTTCATGCAATGTGTTATTAATAGAGGAGATATATAACTATGGCACGAGTGTTTTTCTAATATTTTGATAAAAAATTTCAATATAATTGGCTTCCATTGTACTTTGTATTTTACTTTATGCATGTAAAATACAGACCTAAGAAAACATGCATAGGTTTCAGTAAGACTGCTAAAGGGTCCCAGATACAAAAAACTTATAATCCCTTTTACCCCATTAACTCTCTCTCTCTCTCTGAGTCACCTATTACCATTTACCGATTTCAATTTCCAACTTAAAAACAAAACAAAACAAAACCCTTTGAATGGCTTTACCATGCTGGGAGAAAACATGTATGGCCCTCAATGATCTGGCCTTGCCTTCTTTATCAGTCTCACTCTTCCTTCTTGTAGTTGCTCCAACAAAACAGAACTACCTGTAGTTTCATATTAAACCATGCTCTTTTTGCATTCTTGAATTTACTTTTCTATATATAAAGAATGGGCCTTTTTCTTTATATGCCTAACCAATTTATTCATCCATGTTTATTATGACTACATAAAAATACTCCCAGGGGTTGGCAGGTGGTGTGGTGGTTAGGGCGCTGGATTCTCACATGGCTGATCATGGTTTGAGTCCCAGACCTGGCAGCTTACTTTCTCACTTTCCCTCCCTCTCTGATCAATCAATCAATCAATCAATCAGAAAATTTAAATATTTAATTTTTAAAAATTCTCATTATGAAACGAAGAAAATATACAAAGTCCACGGAGGGAACAACAAAAAAAAAAAACTCCTTTACTCCTCTCCTAATATTTTCTCTTCCCAAAGATAAACACTATCAACAGTATGGTAAAAATCTTTCTGGTATCTTTGCTGTGCATTTATACACATGCATGCACACATACACACACACACACACACATACACACACAGTTACTTTTGGGACTCTTGGCAAAACAAAAACTAATGGGATTACTATAAATGGACCAGAATGAGATACTTCCTTTTCTTTTAATTCTGTTGTTATTATTATTATTTCCTATAGGGCACATGTGCTTGTTGTGGGGGAAGAGAAAGAGAAGGTTAGAAATCACTCTGGTGGTGGTGCGGGGATCGCCACACCGCGATCTCTTCTCTTCTCTCCTCTCAGGATTTTGGACGCATATGCACATGCACCCAGCACGATTCTTCCCTTTTATCAGCTGGAAAATATTCCATAGTATGGCTGGATTATACATTCATTTCATACTACTCTTAGGAATGCTCTTTAATAGATACCTGATGTTATCAATCTTTAAAAATTTTCCCAACATGATAAGAGAGAAAACTTCTTGTCACTATCTTTCCCAATTATACGTGATGTTGAAAATATATGGATATATATACTGGAACTGGTATTTCTCCTTTTGTGGATTGCTTATTTCTGCCCCTCTCCAGTATTTCTAGTATGTTTGTTAATTCAACAAACATTTATAAAGTCCTAGTATGTATCTCCCCTTATGTTACATACCAAGAATATAATGGTAAGCAAAAATAAACATGGATCTTCCCCTCAAAGAGCTTACAGTCTAATAAGAGAGTTAGATTAAGTACAAAGTAATGTAAAGCTATGATAAATTCTACAACAGGGGATTATATGGTATCTTGGAGTAATAGGAAAACTTTTAGAAGTCAGGAAAGGATTCTCTAATGAATATACAGGCACTAACAAAGAGAATAGAGGGACAGCGTATCCTAGGTAAGAAAGAAAAAAAGTCATCAAAATTATGTGATAGAAGTGTGTAAGGCTAGATGGGGCTCAGTTCACATTTTCCTTAAAGTAATTGAAAGAACTGGGGCCAGCAGGTGGTGTAGTGGTGAAGGCACTGGACTCCCACATGGCTGATCTGGGATTGAGTCCCAGACCAGGCAGCTTACTTTCTTACCCCTCCCCCAACTCCCTCCACCCCCATCTTTCTCTCCCTGATGACTGCACGTGCCCTACAGCAAAATAAAAAACAAGTAATAATGAATTAATTTTAGAAAAAGAGTAACTGACAGAACTGTTCAATCTCCTTTTCACACGCACATACACACACACACAGATTTACACATATATACAATTAAGAAACCTCTCCTATACTCTGGAACTATCATTTGCACATGTAAATATAAAAAGACACATGCAAAAATAATGAATAAAATTCTATGGCATTAATTCCTGTCTACCATGAATAATCTCCAAGACATTCAAAATTTGATTGGATGAAGAAAAGTAGAAAGTTTTATGTTCTGCAGACTTTGAGTCCTCGAGTGAGTTCTTCAGTGAGTGCACAGGCCCTACAGCAAAAAAACAAACAAAAAAAAACTTCTTAAAAAAAGGAATCCAAGCAAAATTGGGACCTTTGAAAGTTTTCTTAAAAATAATAGTTCTTTTCTTTCAGCACTTCACATGTGTGCAACTTCTGGCCTCCATGATTTTCTCATTTTCTCATGAGAAATATACTGTCAAATTGTCCCCACTACTCACAGTGTTGTTTCTTTCTCACTGCTTTAAAGATTGTTTTCTTTCCTCTTTAATTTTCAGAATTTGCATATGACATGTCTCAGTGTGGACTGCTTTGGATTTTCCTGCTACAAGTTTGCTAAGCTTCTGGAATCTGCAGGTTTATGCCTTTTGGAGAAGCTTTTACCCATATTTCTTTAAATACTTTTCTAGCCATGCCCTCTTTCTCCACTTCTTTTGAGAGATTCTGAGGCATGAATGTTAGTTTGTTCTTTGGTTACATAGAGTTCCACAGGCCCTGAGGCTCTTGTTCATTTTATTTTAGTCTGTTTTTTTCTCTGTTGTTCAGATTTGGCAATTTCTAATGTTCTATCAATTTACTGATTCATTCTCCAACCCCACCCATCAACTGAATTCTTAATTTTGGATATTAGATTTTTCACTTTTAAAATACCCATTTTGGTCCTTCATATCTTCTATTTCTTTTTTTTTTTTTGGCAGGTTTTCTGATCTTTTGCTAAGACTTTTCACTTCTTCATTTGTTTCAAGCATGGCCACAATTGATTGTTGAAGCACTTTTAGGACAGCTGCATAACCTTTGACAAATAATTTTGAGATTAGTATCTGTCTATTTTCATTCAATTAGAAATTTCCCTAATTTAAAAATTTTCAATTAATATTTAGATATTTTGGGTTTTACATGATAAGACTCCAGATTGATTTCATCTTTCTATCTAGTTAATTAATTTCTATCTATCTATCTAGCTAGCCAATTAATTTTCTGAGATCCAGCCAGCCAGCCAGTCAGCCAAAGACAAGCACCCTCAACAGGGTCTTCATGCCACAATCCTACTCTAAGCCCTGCAGCCAGCTAGGATCATGAGGATCCCTGGCAAGTTACGACAAACCACAGAACTGAACCCAGTGTCTTCACACATGGCTTCCAGCATTGCACAACAGCGCCCCTACTGCCTGTGCTGCTGCAACTGATCCAGATTCCAGATCTTAATTAAATCTTCTATTAGCTGTAATATTTTTGACACTGCTTCAACAGAGGAAGATAGGAAGATGCTTTCTCATTACTGCAAAGTGAAGGTAGAAGTCCAGGCCCTCTACTTGGCCTCCACTGACATCAGAAATAGGGCAGCTCATTGATATGAGCTGGGTGGGTGAGAGTTCTAGCTCTCTGCCAAGCCCGCATACCTCCTGACTCAGAGGAATATGAATACCTCACTACTGCTCTATGTGGCCTCCACTGAGACCTGGGTGGGAGGAAATGGATGGGTAATACTAGGAGCATCTTTAATGAGCAGTGATGAAAATATGCACTAGACCTCCTCTGATACTAGCCAGCAGGATGGGCATGAGCTTCTTTTAAGTCCTAGATAGAAATACTAGTCTAGACTTCAAATGACACTGCTAGGTCTTCAGTGACACTGCTGATGGGGAAAGGGCTAGCTAACCATTCTATGGGAGCAAAAGTTCAGACGGTACCCGGCCTAAACTAACACCACTCCTGCGAGAGTGCTGGGGAGGCTAAGTGCAGTTTGGTGACAGTGGAAGCCTAGG